ACCACCACCACAACCACAACCACAACCACAACGACCACCACCACAACCACAACGACCACGACCACTACCACAACGACCACGACCACCACAACAACGACCACGACCACCACAACAACGACCACGACCACTACCACTAGCACAACCACAACGACCACGACCACAACGACCACCACACTTGGGCCACAGCAGGACTGAGCGGGGGTTGCTTTGTGTTAAGAAGTTTCTTTCTTGGTCGCTGGGCGGTGATGGCCGCAAGCACATGACTCGTCATTCAACTGCGTTTGCCATGTAAATCTGAACCGGAGGATGTGTTCTGGCAGTCTGGTGGCGATTTTTCAGGCGCCGCAACCTGGCTTCTGAATATACAGGCGATCAGCAACTCGGCGCGAAATTGTACCAGCTAGGTCTTTAAAGGTGCTCTTGTTGATTCGTGATTATATATATAGTTGTTGTAACTATATATATTTATGATGAATTGACCAAGCCGAGCAGTGTTGGGTGGTTGCCTGTTGTAGGTTACTGCCCCAAAGCCCTGTCGTCGGCGGACAGAGTCGACCACCGGATCTCATTTAACCTTGGAAGTGCAAGGCTACTGAAAGAAGAAGGGTTTGACTAGGTGATCGGAAGAGTCCCACATACAGGTCCCTGAGAGTCCAGTCAACTATTGAAACGTGGCCGAGTCTTGGCTTGAGGTGATCTGAGTTGAGGAATTTCATCAAACCTTCGGCGGTGAAATGCAAAGACTTTAAGGTAGCCCTCCAGCCTAGCTCGATGGCCCTCAACCTAATAGCGATGGCCTCCATCCTCATAGCGATGGCCTCCAACCTAATAGCGATGGCCTCCAACCTAATAGCGATGGCCTCTAACCTATTAGCGATGGCCTCTAACCTAATAGCGATGTCCTCCAACCCAGTAGCGATGGCCACCAACCGAATAGCGACGGCCTCCAACCTAATGGCGATGGCCTCCGACCTAATCGCGATGGCCTCCAACCTAATATAGCGATGGTCTCCAAC